GTTTCAGGTCCCTGCACAGAGCTTCTAGGGTGTTTGACGATTTTGGTCTCTCCCTTCAATTGCATAATCTATGACTCCAGCAGGCTCCGACAGCGTGGCCGTATCGGTATCTCTCTCGACGGGCACTCTCGCTCTGTTCTGTTAATTTCTTCTGTTAATTCCCTGAGTACTATTTTAAATTTAAATCAAATTAGTATCAACTATAGACATTAGTGTTCGACGCAATCATCAGGTGACACTCAAAGCAGGGTATAAGCACAGCCACAGCCGACGTCAACTACGAGCCGTGAACAAAGAAATCTGGCAACGTAGGTGGTAGTGTTACTCCCGCCGCTGCTTGCTGCATCGACGCAACGCGTGCTCAAAACGCTGAGGAAACATAACCTTTTCAATTTGTGATTTGGGAATCCCAGAGGCTGTAATTAAGAGATAAGCTTGTTTTCTAAGCTTCAAAGTGTGTGTATGTGTTCAAAGTGATCGGTGACTATAATATATGAGAAATAGACTCCAGTTGTAGTGCTTCTGTGCTTTAAAAATAAACTAAGAAGTGTGACTGTGGCTGTTTGCAACTCAGGACGCTAAGGATTTCAACTATTGAAAACGTGCAAATTCAGGTTGTATATTTCTTTTTTCATTTATCAAGTATTTGACGCAGACAATATGCCTCGTTGTTGCTGTGTTCCTTTATGCAATGCAAACTATAATTCTGCTTTGAAAACAGAAAGCTATGTTTCAACTTTTCGCTTCCCAAGTACCGAAAGTCTGAAAAACAAATGGCTTATGGCAATTCCCAGAAAAAATTAGACACCTTCAAAATATACAGCTGTGTGCAGTCGTCATTTTAGAGAATCGGATATCATCAGGACACAGAGAATATAGTTTTGGCGGATGGAACAGTCCAAAATAATATACCTTTGAAATATCCAGAATTGAAAGAAAATGCTGTTCCCTCCATTTTCCCAAACTTGCCATCATATCTTTCAAAAACTGAAGCACCCAAAAGAACTGACCCAATGCAAAGAAAACAAAAATTAATTGAGAAACATGAAAAAGCTATCCAGAATTTCGATGATATGGATAAGATCAAAGACTTTCAAGAATTACATTCTTCATTTTCAAAAATGAAAGCCTCACAGAAATGGAATAATAAATTATCTGATGGAAAGATATATTTTTATAAATTGGATTTTGAAAATGATATCTTAACTTTGAATACACAGATTATAGTTGATGGTCAGATGGAAGTTCAGGTTGTTCATAAAGGATGTAAGCTTTCTTTTAGTGACTTGAAGTGGGTTTTGCCATATGATCTCAAAATTACCAGATGGTCCCAATTAGAAAACCTGCTAAATAGGTATTTTTTCTATTTTTCTGAGAACCAACACAAAAACTCTGAATGCATTGGAACAACTTGACACAGCGATTTCCATAATTAATAATGACTCAGTTATGTTTCCATATACAAAAAATCTAGAGATTATTGCTGATCAGCTGAAACAAATTCAAAACAGGAAAAACAGATATGCATCACTTTCAATAATAATGGCTTTTACGTTTTATAACCACTCATCATCAACATATAATTTAATTAAAAGATTTTTTATTTTGCCAAGTAAGGGATACTTACAACATATCTCCTCAAGTATGGATATATCTCCAAAAAATGATAGGAATAATGAAAACTACCTTTCGAATATAGCAATTAAATTAGCTCCAAGAGAAAAAATTGTAATTTTGATGATCGATGAAATTTATATAACATCTAGGCTGGACTATCGCTCACAAAACATTGTGGGTATGCCTCAAATAAAAATGACATGGCTAAAACTGTTTTAGCCTTCATGCTATCTTCAGCATTTGGAAACATAACAGAAATTATCAAATTACTACCAGTTTCAAATCTAACAGGTGATGAAATGACACCTTTGGTTGAACATGTGATAAATTTAGTTCAAAAATGTGGATTTGAAGTTATTTGTGTTGTTACTGATAATCACCGAATTAATAGAGCAATGTTCAGGAAATTAGCAAAGGATTCATCAGAAAATTATTCTATTCCAAATCCACATAATCCTGATAAGAGCATATATTTAACTTATGATGTTGTGCATATTTTCAAGAGTATCAGAAATAATTGGATTAATTTAAAAAACCTAGACAAAACTTTTGTATATCCTAATTTTGACAATAATGATATTATTCAGTATGCTAAATTTTAAAAAATTCGTGCTGTATATCAATTGGAAAAAGAAGCATACAATTAAATTATAAAACATTGCATCCAAATTCATTTGAAAGGCAAAATGTAAATTTTGTAGATAATTTATTCCATCACTCAACAATAGCTGCTATGAAAGAATTAAAGTTTTTTGGAAATAATCAGGAATTGGTGGGATATTGTCAGTAATACAAGTGTAATAAAAGGAGAATTGAAGCGAAACGAATTTTGTAAGCCTATTACCAATAAATATGATTATAGAGTACAATTTTTAAAAAAATTCCTGATATGGTTAGAAAAATGGCATAATCTAGAGAATAATAATGGACACCTGACACCAGAAACGTATACAGCTCTATATCAAAGCACGCTGACTCTACTTAATATAATTGAATATCCATTTAATCAATTTGACATTGAGTATGTATTGCCTGGAAAATTCACCACTGATAATTTAGAAAAACGATTTGGCAATTATAGACTTTTATGTGGCTGCAATTACAATGTGTCATATGATGAAATTTTAAATGCTGAAAAGAAAATACGGCTGAAGCATATTTTCAATGAAAAGAAATCGTCATTTTCTTTAGCAGAAATTAAAACAAGGTTCCAAAAGTGCTTAGAAACTCAAGAAAATTTTGATTTCTTGGATACCAAACAAAATCCTGAAGTTTTGGATATGTTCATTGAAGTATTTGAGACAAATTACTTAGCCAATTGTGACATAGAGGATAGTACTAAGACTTATATATCTGGATATGCTTCACCCGCTATCTCTAAAAACATAAACTGCGAGATATGCAAATCGCTAATAGTTAAAGAAAAAGGTTCATTAACACAAATGTTTATTTTGATCATTTGCAAAGAGGAGGACTGTCAATTCCAACCAGTTATGTACCAGTCATATTCTATCATATGTATGCCATTTTTGAATCTATTATTAATGTAAAATGATTCGAAATTTTCTTCTTGAAAAGCAATAATCAAAAATTTATTTTGTGTCAGTTAACCTTGCTCAGCATTCAGTCTGACTTTATATACAGTGAATTTTCTTTAACTTGCATCTGTGGCGGCAATTATGCAGATATTTTATTTAAGCTTTTGTCTATTTTTTCAAACATAATTTTGAATGATTATGTAAAATTGAAAAATAACAGTAAAACTGAAAGTAAATGTATTAAAAACAAACAGGTGAAAAATTAGGAAAAATGCTTGGTATTATACTAAGTGACATATAAATCCGAACACCCAGTTTAAATGGTTTTATTTTAATAAAAGTTGGTGAATGTATTTATCATACTGTAAATAACAAGTGAAAAAATTTTCAGCCTTATCAGTTGGACATTCCGGTTTTTATACTGCTTTTTTTTAATTCACTAACGCTCTAAAAATGAATATTTCAGCCGCAGTAAAGAATCAACGTTGGCCGATTTTGGTTCTTGACATCCTTTACGATCGGTTACGATGCCTAGAGTACGGAGACCTGTACGATTTCGTCAACTTAGTGAGTTTGATAGGGGCCGTATAGTGGGACTTCGGGAAGCTGGACTTTCTTTTCGGGCAATTGCAGTTAGAGTGCAAAGAAGTGTAGACACTGTGGTTAGGTGTTGTCAGGCATGGCTTCGAGAAAGCCGTACGCAAAGAGCAAGGGGCACTGGAAGCCGCCGTAGAACAACAGACCGTGAAGATCGCCGCCTAAGATTATTGGCCTTAAGGGACCGTTTCTCCACTACCAGGTCCATTGCAAATGAATGGTTTGCAGAACACGGAACACCTATTGGCATGCGAAGTGTTTACCGACGAATGAGAAGTTTTGGTTTGTTTTCATACCGGCCACACTGGGTCCTCCATTTAACTCGAGAACACCGACGTAATCGCCTTGAGTGGTGCAGACAACGGTCACTCTGGGATCAGGAATGGAACAGTATTGTCTTTAGTGACGAGTCTCGATTTTGTTTAGGCTTGCACGATGGTCGTGCCAGGGTTAGAAGGCGACGTAGTGAAAAGAGGAATCCACAGTTTTTTGTTGAAAGACATGTTCATCACACTGTTGGAGTTATGGTTTGGGGTGCTATAGCTTATGGTTCCAGGTCACCTTTAATCTTCGTCAGAGGTAACATGAACGCGCAGCGTTATATCCACGAAGTTCTAGAACCCCATCTTTTACCCTATCTTGACACCCTAGCAGATCCAACTTTCCAACAAGATAATGCCCGACCACATGTTGCAAGAGTCACAATAGACTTCTTTCAATATAATGATGTCACATTGTTACCATGGCCACCAAGATCTCCCGACTTATGCCCAATTGAGCACGTGTGGGATATGATGGGTAGGAGATTGCTCAATTTGCAACGTCCTCCTCAGACTCTAGAAGCACTTCGAGAGGAGTTGGTGGTTGCCTGGAATGAGATACCACAGGAGGACATTGACCACCTGATCAGAAGCATGCCTAGGCGCGTTGGAGAAGGCGTAGCACATCCGGGTGCATCCACACATTATTAAAGGTCAAAGGGCTTTAAAGCAGTGCAATCATTTTGAAATTTTTATAATTTACTTATTATGCTTCATTAAGTACTTATACAAAATTTTATTAAAATAAAACCATTTAAACTGGGTGTTCGGATTTATATGTCACTTACTATAGTCCCTAATACATTGTAACTTGTATATTTTTCGAAATTATTCTAATTGTTTAAAACAGATATTGATGTGCCGCCAACGTTCGCTTGAAATTTTTCAGTGTCAAGTATAGTGGTATAAAAGGTCCATTAAACCAAGAGGCGTCGTAGTCTAGTGGGAAAGAGTAAGGACTGCAGATCCGCAGGACGGAGGTTCGAATCCTCAGAGCTCCTTTTTTCTATTATTTTTTTTTTTCGTTTGGTGAAATAATTGCTTTTTCACATTATGTTTAGTTTTATTATGATCAAACAGCTTTTCGCACGCCATAGACAATGTAACCTTCAAACTTAAAGAATAAGCATTCTGTAATTTTATTCATGTCTTCAAAGAATTTATTAAGCAGAATTTTGTATAGTAACAATGAGACACTGTAATTTTCATTAAAATCCCATTTAATTCCTGTCCTATCAATCTAGATATTGTATCAGACTTGTGTCCATGCTTCGAGTATAAAAGTTTCTGTAGGTAAACCAAGTGATATATGGCGTATTCCTTAATTTCATATGGGCATTACGGGTCGTTCATTAAATCCATTATTTCAAAGACTCCTCATTGGTTGAATTTGTGACCCAGCATAAAAAAATCGTGCCTTATTGTCCAAATACGTTACCCTCGTCGTCATAGTTGTCTATCTGAGCCATCTAAAGTGACCAATGAATGAAACCACATATGATGAATACATGAGCATGACGATTTGGTTCCATTCATCAGGCGCTTTAAGGGGATGGCTCGCACATGGACCAAGTACCTTTGTTTCCCTTTTGATTTTGAGCTTCTAAATAATATTAGGTACGCAGCTTGCACGTCGGTAGCAATGTCGTCTGTTCCATACTTATGACTTCGTATCCACAAATAATCGTTAAAAGGCATTTTAAGTGCAAGTTCTTTAGTAAACGGGAATAATCGTTGATTTAGCCGCCACGTAAGGGCAAATACAATTTCCCACAGGTTCCTTCTTCTTGTAAAAGTAATGTATTGTTTGTTACGCAATGAGTATATAGAGTAACCTCGACACTATTGTACACTGATACTACCCTTTCTTTTGTTAAAATAACTACTAACACATACATATTGAGACACTAGTATAAGCATGATATCGTATTAAAAAAAAGATCCTAATAGTTTTATTGAAAGTATTCCATTCTGACTGTTGAAGCCTAACAAAACATTATTGAAATTACATTGTTCATACTATTATGCAAAAACATGTCTACGCTGTTGATGAAATGAGCATCTACGCTCAACAGTAACTTGATAAATATCACATCTGTGGGTTAGCTCACTTAATTTTATAAGCATCCCCTGTGGCTCCAAGAGGTACCTAATTTGTTCGCGTACGAACACTTGGTTGAGCATATTATCGCAATAAAATTTTCGGATGTATATCATTATTGTTGGTTAATAATTTGCACATCTAAGACATATGTTTTCAAAAACTGTCTGCTATGATCCGTCACAGTGTTTCTGAAATTTTATCAAAGTAATGTGAAAAAGCATTTATTTCACCGAATTTAAAAGAAAAATAATAGAAAAAAAGTCAGCTTTGTGCATTCGAACCTCCATCCTGCGGATCTGCAGCAGTTACTCCTTCCCTATACACTACGACGCCTCTTGGTATATTGGATCTTTACTATATTTGACACTGACAAATGTCAAGCGAGCGTTTGCGGCACATCAAATTTGTTATAAACAATTAAAATAATATCGAAAAGTATATAAGATACAATACTAAAACTTTAAACAATATATTAGGGACTAATACTGAGCATTTTCCCTAATTTTTCAGATGGTTAGTTCGCTACAACTGGTGAATTTTTGTATACTGTTTTTCGGTTTCTAGAGTTTATTTTCCAACATGTTTAACTCGCAGTCATTTTAACCGTACTAGATTTCGAAAACAAACGTGTACTATATTAATAATTTTTGGAAAAAAAGTCCAGAGAATTATATTTCTTCGTAAAGAGACTGGATTTCCTGACCTACTTATCTGACAAAGTCATGCAGTCGCTAAAAATGTAGCTAATTCGCGCATCCTACATACTAACTAGGCTAAGATAGTTTGAAACATAATGTTGTCTTCAGTTTACTTGCTAACTTTATAAACAGTTCAGTGCATTTCAGTATGAAATATTTTTTCTGAACTTTAAGGCTCATCTCTGATCGTGTAAAAATTTCAGCTCGAAATAAGTATACATAAGAGTATGAAGTATTCTTGAAAAAGATTTTTTCTTCGTGACAAAAGGGGATAGGCACATCATTTGTTTCAAAATGTGTATAGTAGCGTTTTGTTTTTCGAATATAGTAGCGCCTCTGTTCAATTACTCTCAAATACGAAATGATTGAATTTGTTTAGAAAAAGAAAACGTAACCCTTTCTTTTTCGTAATAAAAATAACAGTTATCTTTCTGTTTAGTTTATTATTCATATCAGCAAGGTAAACCCGAGTATTTTGCTATAAAATGCCCTTTGAATGAACCCTGTATATTGCTCAATAAATTAGTAGCGATGGCCGGAAAACAGGTGTTTTGGGATAAACAATTAGAAACCCTCGAAAACTACTTGACCAAGCTACTCCAATTTTGTTGTGGTTATTTAAAAGCATGAATCCTACGGATTTGAAGAATTTCAAGTATGTGTAATTATCGTGACAAAACCTGCATTTTGCCTCATTTTTCGGACAACTTTTTCGCTATAGTATAGTTAGTGAAGATATTCTAATATATTTTTATTTTAATCCAGTTGGTGTTAGTGCATTTGATTTCGCTCTAATACAAGTTTTTGTCTAGGATCGACCATTTGTATGGAATTAATTGATACTTCCCACACTTACAACTACAGACCTTGAATGGAATTTTGTGTTTTTTATTTAGTTAGCGAGGATATTTTAATGCATTTTCGTCTTAATCCAGATGGTTAGTGTATTTAATTTTGTTCTAATATAGGTTTTTGCCTGGGATCGGCCACTTTGATGGATTTAATTGATTTTTCCCATACTTTAAACTACAGATATGGGATGAAATTTAATTGTTTTTAAATAAATGATTAAGGTTAGTATAATAATATAAATACATAATGTTTATAAAGAGAACAACAAAATAATTTTTAGTATTTAGAGAGCCTTATGTTCTAGATGTTACTTGTAAAGGAGACATAACCTGTTAAGCTTTATCGAGGGTACCTATTTATTGTTAGCTCTATATTTATTACTTTATCAGTTTAATTTTCTAAATAAAATTCAATCTTTGTGAATACTTACATAGTTTATATAATTGCTGGCATGAAAATTTATTATTATTATTAAAATTATTACTTAAGAAATTAGCCTATATTATTATTTACAAACTAGTTAAAGATATATTTTTTTCTAAAGTGATGACTTCTTACATTTTACTCAATTTTCAGTGATTTAAATGTCTTGGTATGATCTTTGAAACAAGTAAAAAAAAACTTAAATCGACAGAAGAACTCGAGGCTATTTTATGTAAAAAATATTTTTTTTTATAGAAACCCAAAAAAATGTGTCTCAAGAGTCTTTTTAGTTTCTTTGTTACATATGTTTTTTATTGTTACAGATTTTTGCTGTTGCGCACTGATGTTTTATACCTTTTGGAAAGCTGGAGCCAGATAGTTTTGTTCAAAAGGAAACTGGAATCTAAAACAATTTTATTTTTTGGAATAACTGTAATTTCATTGTGTGTAGTATTTTGCACCGTTTGTGGATCTATTAGCTTAATTTAATTATAAACTAGGAAAATCAATTGAATTCTTGCGTAATTTGAGTATTCTTTATCCCAATTTCATGAGAATGTTAAGAAATCACAAGTGACCAATTTTGAAAACTACTGATTTTTGAGCATAAATATGTCGAATGATGTTGCATATTAGGTCCCCTATCACACCCTGGAAGAGGTATGGCGTATTATCAGAAACACAGTATAAATTCATCAATCATAACGTCGTCTATACCGCAAACAGGCGTAACTGATTTTATACAAATTATCAGTAGAAACAAAATGAATATCGACAGTTATTTGTTTCCATATATCTTTCTCTACTTTGGACAATATGATCATGATTTCTGATGTCTCTGTGAGCGAACTACGTGAACTTACGCCACTTTGCAGGATTGAAGATATGCTATTCCTTATTGATTTGAATCCGTTAACTTGAATTTGATTTTTGTCAGATACGCCTGTTTGAGGTATGGACGACGATAAGTTCAGCTTGAAATTCATGACTTTAGGCTCTTATGATTATGACTCTACAGGTGTTATATATACTACTTTTAACATATTGCAGTGCAACGCATATCGGCCATAAAAAGCAAATTCTCATAAGATTCAACGTGATTTGGTTTCCGCGATAAATGAAATCTTACCGAGTTTTGAATGTAACATCAGGTTATCTGCAACAAAGATGTATCAATTCCTGAAAAGTTAAAAATTTTAAACTTTGGTGTGGGATCAAAACATAATTTTTAGAATAATCATAGTCTCAGATTTGTAGGCTAAGGTTCTCACAAATATAAAAATATTATCAGGTAGGGCAGAACATCACTTTTTGTGTCAAATATGTTAATTTTAAACTCAATTTCAAAGCATTTAGATATTATACGTACTTGTAGCTTTTCATGACACTCTAAGCAGTCCACTAATGATTTATTGAATATAAAAGTACACTTCGATTTATGTATATGCATATCAAAAACTTCAATTTCAATCAGCAGATCCTAATTAATCATTCCTTAACTTGTAGCTGTTTTGAAACAGCCTCTCTGAAATCAGCAATGATCGTGCACTATGCAATGTTTCGTCCATAGGCATACCCATGTGAAAGGTAAGTTCTCATATAAATGCTATGAGAATCAATATCCTGTGTAAAAGAATGTAACAAGTATATAGTAATATTATCATATCTGTAATGTTTGATCTTGCAACTTATTTTTGGTTGTTACAAATATCTATTTGCATCAAATTGATCATGCTTTTGATTTTTATTTGTTTTATGAGCCTGAAATGTCTTATAATTTCAAATCAACATATCCTCGTCCATACTGCAAACAGGCGTAACTGATTTTATACAAATTTTCAGTAGAAACAAATCAACAATTATTTGAGTCCTTATATCTTTCTTACTTTAGTCAATATGATCATGATTTCTTCCCATAATATAG